GCTGGCGCCGCCCACGCGCCGGCCTAGGGAGGGGCAGCCGGGCCGGCGCCTGTCCCGCTCGTTGCCGAGGCAACCTGATGCGGCCTACTGGGCGTCAGCGCCTGCTGCGAGGCCCGTTCTGGGCGGGAGCAAGGTACAGAGCCGGTTTCTACATCCGGGGAACAGCCGGTGGTTTCTGATTGGTAGGGTCGCCAGGAACAGCTGTTCTCAGACATTGCTGCCCAGCGTAGCCCTGTGCTGCGGGGAGCGGTTCCGCAAAGCCTGAGGCGCTGCTAGTCAGTGATCCCAGTTCTAGCGACCCCCCTATAGCCCCAGTGGTGCCACGGTTCAGGCCTCTCTCCCAGTGCTCCAGCTGAGGCTTAATCAGCATGGAGCACAGCACACACCGTGCTGCTTGTGTCTTGCTTACCTTGGGGGGGGGGGGTGTTTGTTGTTGTTTTTTGCAGGAGTTTTACACTATTGACTCATATTTAGCTCTCGTGGTCCAAAGCACTTGCAGACGCCTCCCAATGTGTTATCACTCAGCCTGCGTACGTGCAGGGTGTCCCCCTAAGTCGCATGGTTATACATTGGTTCCGCACTGTGGTTGACGCCTGGTGCGTTCTAAGTCCTCCCATTGCCCGCTCCGTGCCCCCTCCCCAATTTACACAAATGGAAGTCAGCCGCAGGGGAAAAATAAATCCCTGCTTTATGTTATTTCGCTATATAGCCACGTTTTTTGAAATTTATTTTGGATGCCTAGTGAGGATGCTCTCTAAGCAGAGGTGACTGGTGAGGGGGAACCCAGAGGACTGGGCAGAGGGCAGGACAATGCCCCCCCCATACTTGTTCTACCTCATCCCCACACATACCAGCAGCAGCAGGGAAAGCGCAGCAAGGCGGCCCCAACTCTTTTTGCTCCCCTAGCTGCATCGCTCCACTCCCGCCCATGCATGACTCTCTGTTTGAGGGTCAATCTTCCTATAGTAACTGAGCAAACTTTATGATGTGGATAATTTCAGGGCTCTCAAACTTATTTTTCCTGTGGTTCAGTAGAGTACAACTATGTTAACTTTCTAAACAGCCTCTGTTTTAGGGTACCTGGTGAGTAGGATATACTTAGAAATATAAGGCAAAATTCTCCCCTCCTTTAAGGCCACTTGGTACAGCTGGCAGGCAAGGAACCCTCTTCTTCAGATGAATGTAGTTAAGGGGTCCAGAATACAAATAAATAGCAGAGAAAGAGAGGGGATGACGAAGGAAAGGGAAGGGAAAAATATTGTCAATTATTGTGTCCATACTAAATGAGGCTAGTAAAGTGGATTCTAAGTACTAGGTGCTTAGCTTTTTATGTCATTAGGATGTGGAATGTAGCAGCCCATCCAGATAAGGTCTTTGTTCAGACCTCATTATCAGGTGTCAAACTTTTAAATGAAACCAAGTTCTGCAGCCTCTCTCAGGTTGGTTTTTGAAATTGCTTTGTAATAATATAGGCACTTTTAAATCCAGTAGAGAGTGCCCAGGCAAGTTAAAATGTTCCCCAAGAGGTTTCTGTATGTTATCATTTCAAATATCTGATTTGGGTCTATTAATGCTTTGTCATAGAGGCTGTCCAGTTTGACCAATACACATGGCAGAGGGGCATTGTTGGCACTTAATGACATAGATCACATTGACTGATGTGCAGTTATATGAACTTCTGATGCGGTGTGTTATGTGGTTAGATCCTTTGATGAGGTTGCTTGTACAGATGTGTGAACAGAGTTGGCACTGGAGTTGATTGCAAGAGTGGGTTCCTGGATGAGTATGATGGAGGTCTGCTCCATGGTTGCAGGAAAGAATTTATTTGAGGTTAGAGGGTTGTCTGTAGGCAAGGATTGGCCTGTCCCCCAAGGCCTGTGAGAGTGAGGGGTCATTTTCCAGAATAGGTTGTAGATCGTTAATAATATGCTAAAGGGGTTTAAAAATTGGTGGCTATAGGTGATGACCAGTGGTGTTCCGTTGTTTTCTTTGGTTGGTCTATTTTGAAGAAGCCGATACCTGGGTACCTGTCTGGCTCATTTTTTTCACTTCCCTGGGTAGGTATTTAAGTTTTAAGAATGCTTGATATAGATCCTGTAGGTGTTTGTCTCTGGCTGTGGGACTGGAGCAAATCTTAGGGCCTGGCTGTAAACAATTGATTAGGACCGTGGTCCCCAACACGGTGCCCGCGGGCGCCATGGCGCCCACGGGGGCATTTGCATGCACCCGCCAGGTGCTCGGGGCTGGCCTGGCCCCGGGCACATGGTGCGGTGCTTGCGGGGAGTGTCGGCCCCGGGCGCGTGGCGCTTGCAGGGGGAAGGGGGGGAAGC